TTCATCATTGTTGATATAAGTGCTACAACGTCTGCTCAAGGGGCACAATCTCTGAAAATAAGCACATTTGGCCAGTACTTATCTGACGTGCTCCTGAAAGGACCAAGTATCCTCGAGCTACTCGTCCTATAACTGAACTCAGTGGCCGAGGAAGGGGTCGCTACCCTTCCTCTCCTGTGGACGCGCCCAGCTCCAGTCGGATGGGCCCCTCCTCCCCTCTTTTCCGAGGTTGCTTCCTACGGTGTAACCTCGGGCATTTTTCTCTCGAGCTCCCTTTAACTATAAGGACCTCGAAACGCAAAGTTAGGTTAGCTCACATTTATGAAACTGACTTTTCTATTGAGCTCCCCTTGGTTAGCTTACATCTATGAAACTGATCTTTTTACTGAGCTCCCCTCTGATAGCTCACATTTATTAAGCTGATCTTTCTACTGAGCTCCACTCTGATAGCTCACATTTATGAAGCTAACCTTTTTACCGAGCTCCCCTCGGCTAGCTTCCATTTATGAAACTGACTTTTCTATTGAACTCCCCTCGTTTAGCTCACATTTATAAACTGATCAATTTTTCCACTGAGCTCCCCTCGGTTAACTCACATTTACAAAACTAGCTCCCTGGGGAGCTCCCTTCGATTAACCCATTCTTCATGAAGCTGACCACTCTATCGAGTTCCATTCGTTTTACCTCATTTACAAAAACTGACTTCTTTACGAATTCCTCTCAATAAGTTCATTTCTTCACAAAGTTGAGTTCTCTAACAAGCTCATCTTCATAAAGATAATTTATTAAGAGCATTCCTCTTAGTCATCTCGCCCTCTACAAGACTCCTTCCTCTAGAGAGCTTCCCTTTATGAGCTCATTTTCATAAAGTTAATTTAGAGCATTTCTTTTGATCAACTCGCCCTTTGTGTAAATCTCCTCACTTTTATATGACTCGCTTTTGTAAAACGCCTATCTCTGATAAGCTCTCCTCGAGAAAGCTCATCTCCTCAAATTTGACTTCCTTGGCAAATTCATTTCTGTTAGACAAAACTTGTCCCTCTTATGAACCCTCCTCGATGAGTTCATTTCCATACTTCTTTAAAGAGTTCATTTAGCTTACCTTTGTAAACTCATCTATTTTATAAGCTTTCCTCAATGAGATCATTCTCATACTTTCGTAGGGAACTCAATTAGCTCACTTATATCTTTAAAGAATTCCCTTCTCTACCTCAGTCTTTTGCTCGAGCTCCCTCCTCGCAGCCTCGAGCACCTTCCTCGCAGCCTCGAGCACCTTCCTCGCCACCTCGAGCAGGGGGGCAAAATGTTGATATACGTGCCACGACGTTTGCTTGAGTTGCACCATCTCTGAAAATAAGCACACCCGACCAGTACTTATATGGCGTGCTCCTGAAAGGACCAAGTATCCTCGAGCTACTCGTCCTATAACTAAGCTCACTGGCCGAGGAAGGGGTCGCTACCCTTCCTCTCCTGTGGACGCGCCCCGCTCCAGTCGGATGGGCCCCCTCATTCCTTCTTTTCCGAGGTTGCTTCATGTAGGCGTAACCTCGGGCATTTTTCTCTTGAGCTCCCTTTAACTGTAAGGACCTCGAGACGCAGAGATAGAATAGAGCTCGCGGGGCCGAGAAGGCGGAATCCCGAGAAAGGCTCTTTCCCTATCTTCAGTTGCGGGAATCTGAGTATCAGTGGTTAGGTGGCTGAGTTTTAAGGAATCACCTCACTTTGAGGTTTACACAAAGGGGAAAGAATGTTTAATACCCAATAGCTGAGCTCGAGTAAAAGAGACCACATAATACACTAATTATATATCTCACATAATTACTATTGGATAAAGAAGGAGCAACAATCGTAACCAATGGTCCTTACCTAAGTAAAACGACCATTGGATAAAGAGGGAGTTAGCTCTTATGACTAAGGGTCCTTACCCAAATGAAAATAGTATAAATAAGGCTTAACTCTCACCATTTAGAGAGGTTGAAAATACAAAGGCACAACCATAATCATAGAGAATGGTCTTCTAGAGCTCGAGCTACTATAGGGTGTTAAACAAATCTGCCTTCTCTCTCTCAATCCCCTCTACGGAGAATTCCTTGTGCTAGCTTGGAGCTTCACTCAGCTTCTGATCTTAGCACCCCTGACAAACGTGGAATGATCTCCTCACATCATCACGAACTACCATCAACACTACTATTATCATCAATCACGGACTCGCATAATTACTTTTATGTTTTCATCAAAAAACGATATATATATATATATATTGTGTACTAAAGCCCTGAAATAGTAGCTAGCAATGGAGAAAACTTCTAAAGGTAGTAATGTTCATGCCAAATTCAATCTTCCACTTAGTAATGGGTTGTATACCTCCTCCTTTTTGGTTAATGGATTAATTAAGTAATGTTCATCTCTATTTTTTTTTTTTTTTTTTTTTTTGGGGTAATTAAAAAAAATAAAAAAAGGAAGAAAGAAAGAATAGAGATGAACACACATTTATATTAGTGTTCTGAATTGATTTTAAGTGTATATACATATATACATATATATATATATATATGATAGTTATTTATTTGTTTGTATTTTTACTTTTGTTTTTCACCAACAATCGTAATTTATCTATGTAGTGTATTGTTCATCTCCAAATCTCATGCAATTGAATTTTCTTATGCAAGTGTTTACTATTGTTATATAGAAGAGGTAATTTTTAGACGAAAAAGAGTACTTGAGTTGACTTATAGAGAGATCGATAGTATATCTAACCCACTTTAGTAGTATTTGATATATTAAGATAAATACTCACGTGCTATATGATGAAAATTTTAGTTGACAATGTATATTCTCTCATGCTTGGTTATATTATGGTACAAATTTTTATTTTGTGAAAGTTGTTTTAATTGTGGAATATTTATAAAAGGATTGTGTGTGCTAGACATATATAACCGGATGAAAATATGAAGAAGTGGATGTCGGTTGAAATAAATTATTTTGAAAATTAGTTGGAGGTCGGCGATCTGCCGGAGAATGATCGAATTTTTTTATTTTTTATATTTTTTGCATTTTATATGTCCATGATTAATTAATTTACTTTGCTCTATTAATAATTTTTTGTTATAATTGGTACTTTATTTATGTATATAACAAATGCTCTTACAATTATAAAGACGTATCAAATATTCTATCTTATTGTATTTATAGATCTATAACATATTTTTTTTACTGAATGGTTGTGCTCATTCCAATATTTTTTTTAAGTCTAAAAGAATGAAGATTTATCTGAACTTACCTGATAGGGGGTTTTGCTTATCTTTCATATGTGAATCCTACAAGCGGCCATCAGGTTTCTCCTTTTCTCCAGGAAGCTTGACAAGTTCATTGGTAATCTGCTTGCACAAGGAGTCTTAGAAGACCTGTCTTGAAATTTTAAAATTATGATTTAAGAGAGAATTTATGGTTATATGATAAACATAATATTCTTGTCAATTGTTTGTCTTTAATTTTGAAAAGTTGAAACATTTTTGAGGAAGATTTATCTTTAATGATATATAAGATTATTTATTTCATCTTGTTGACATTATTAATTAGTTGAATGATGAATATTGACTGCTATACCTCCTTATTGTTATGTTCATCCAATAAAATACCTCATATCAATTTGTTACCTTTATTTTACAAATAGGTGAGACAAATACCTATGAGTGGCACACCTAAAGCCCTGAAATAGTAGCTAGCAATATGGAGGAAAATCCTAAAGTTAAGGGAGGCTGCATAAAGGAATGTGGAATATATGTTATTTGTAATGGGTTGCATACCACCTTGTGACTTTTCGAATAATATTGTGTTTTAAAGGATTTCTTTATCCTTTGGCACTCTATTTTTTTTATCGACGACGTTGGTGTCGAGTCTCTTAAAGCATCTCATAATTCATCGCTAAGTGCATGCATTTCCCTGCCCCACATGCCCCCGACAAACATTTTCTAAAATATGATCTAAACTTTTTGCCAGAATAAAATCACAAAAATACGGACAAACATCTTCTTCCTAGTATACTCTAATTAAGAACTTCCAGTCACCTTCAAAATTTTGCATGGTATGAGATGGTTATCATAGACATGAAATTGAGACCGATTGAAAATGGAATGAAAGTTTTACAAATCTAAGAATATGATTAGATTGTAAAGTAGATCAAGAGTTGAAAATATAAGAAAGAGAACAATTTTGTTATTGTTCACAAAGCATAGAAAACATTACACTAGTAGTTCCATTTGTTTGGTTGTAAAATATATTTTTTATTTTCTGATGTTTGGTTGTCGTTTAATAATTACGAAAAAAATAAAATAAAATTTGACTAAAATAACTTACTCATTAATTTTTGACCAGTTATTTTATACGCTCCACTCGAAGAACTCGATCTCAATCTCAATTCAGTCCTTTGCGAAACACCAAAATATTGAAATAAAAAAATATATATTTTAGTATATCGAAGCAACGGAGCCCTATATATATATCTATCTTATTTTTTATTTTTTTTTAATGAAGGTCCTCATTATATGTCACAAAAAAACACTTGACACGAATGAAACATTATTAAAGAATGACACAATATATCTAAAATTTTGTTGGCATATCCGTTATTTTAAGGTAGGTTATTCTATTTCCACTGACAGTAGTGTAGCATAAACAATAAACTCGATCACTTTGTAAACGTAACAAAATAGAACAGTTGGCACCACAGCTAACAGCTAGCTTAATATTGACCGCCGTTTTGTTCATAACACAACAGATTAGCGACTACTACTAAGTCTCAAGCCCCAAAAAAACAGGTATACACCAAAAAAAACCGTTTCTTTATCCCTTCTCAAGTGTCCACTTGTCAGGTAACTAAGATACTTTGCAGAGGCCGGCCCATCGTGAAAACCAACTCAAACAGCACTCTCTCTATATAAAAGTGTGTGTTGTTTGTGTAGTTATAGAAAGCATTAGCATTTTCTATTTCTTTTACCATCATGGCGAACAAGAGGAGTGAATTGTTGCCAAACATGATATTCATTGTCACACTCACTCTCATTTGCATTTTTAATTTCTATCCCACCATGGCTAATGAAGCAGGATATTTCTCTTCGGAAGAGAATGATGCCAATGAGCAAAGCAATTTAGAAACACACATTGTTCACCTAAAGCTGCCCGAAGGCGTAGATTTTTCTCGATCAGAAGACTTGGAGAGCTGGTATCAGTCCTTCTTGCCAGCTAGCTCGAATGAGCCCTCGTCACGGATGGTTCACACATATCGTAACGTGATCATTGGTTTCGCGGCAAGATTGTCACCAGAGGAGGTGAAAGCCATGGAAAAGAAGGATGGGTTTGTATCGGCTTGGCCCCAGAAAGTACTGCCACTACACACAACTCATAGCCCAAACTTCTTGGGTCTGCACCAGAATTTAGGGTTTTGGAATGACTCCAATTATGGGAAGGGTGTCATAATTGGAGTTTTGGACACCGGAATCACCCCGAACCATCCCTCATTTAGCGACAAGGGAATGGCTGCTCCTCCTCCTAAATGGAAAGGCAGGTGTGAAACTGGGATATCATGTAATAACAAGCTCATCGGTGCTAGGAACTTCCTTAATCGAACGACACCTGAGCCGCCGCGCGACAACGATGGTCACGGCACACACACCACGAGCACCGCTGCCGGGAACTTCGTGGAAGGTGCCAATCTGTTCGGCCAGGACAATGGCACTGCGGTTGGCATGGCGCCTCTTGCTCATTTAGCCATCTACAAAGTATGCACCGGCTTTGGTTGTCCCGACGGTGCAATATTGGCAGCAATGGACACTGCTGTCGAGGATGGAGTGGACGTGCTTTCTCTCTCCCTCGGGGGAGAATCTTTACCTTTCTATTCTGACAACATTGCCCTAGGAGCATTTGGGGCAATGAAAAAGGGCATTTTTGTCAGCTGTGCCGCCGGTAACTCTGGTCCGTTTAATGCTTCATTATCAAATGAGGCACCATGGATTCTAACAGTCGGAGCAAGTACTATTGACAGAAGCATAATGGCAACAGCAGTACTTGGAAACAATGAGACATTCGACGGCGAGTCACTATTACAGCCAAGCAATTTCACATCGGAGTTATTGCCCCTTGTTTACCCCAGCATCAATGGCACTGCATCGTGCAGTCCCCTAGCACTGAACAACACTGATGTAACAGGAAAAATAGTGTTGTGTGAGAGAGGTAGTGGCCAAACAGTGAAGGATGCCGGCGGTGCTGCCATGATACTCATGAACAACCAGATGAGAGGCTATAATACCTTTCCCATTAAGCCAGTTCTTCCAGCAACACATGTTAGTTACGACGCGGGAATGAAGATCAAAGCTTATATAAACTCGTCGGCAACCCCTACTGCTACAATCTTGTTCAAAGGAACTGTAATTGGAGTAAAGTCTGCTCCTGTGGTTGTATATTTTTCATCCAGAGGTCCTAGCTTGGCAAGCCCTGGAATTTTGAAACCGGACATTATTGGTCCTGGTATGAGCATTCTAGCTGCATGGCCATACTCTGTTGACAACACCAACACAACATCCACATTTAACATCATCTCTGGCACATCAATGGCTTGTCCTCATCTCACTGGCATCGCGGCGTTGCTGAAAAGTGCACACCCAGATTGGTCACCGGCTGCCATTAAGTCCGCGATCATGACTACTGCTGATCACTATAACCTCGATAACAAGCTCATTGTGGATGAAAGAATGCTTCCAGCTGACGTCTTCGCGACCGGGGCAGGCCTTGTGAACCCATCAAAAGCGACTGATCCAGGACTTGTGTATGATCTCAAACCGGATGATTACATACCTTACTTATGTGGTTTGGGTTACACAGACAAACAGGTTGGAATCATCTTACAACGCACAGTGAACTGCTCTGATGAGCCAAGTATACCGGAAGCGCAGCTCAACTATCCTTCATTTTCAGTTGTGCTCGGTTCTAATGCTAATACATACACGAGGGCAGTGACAAATGTGGGCGAGGCTAATTCATCCTACACTGTTGACATTGTTTCACCTCCGGGTGTTTATGTAACTGTCAACCCCACTAAGCTCGAATTCACTGAAGTCGACCAGCAGATGACATACAGTGTGACATTTACTCGATCAACTGTTCGAGGTGACACCCCCAATATTGTTCAACCTTTTTTACAATGGGTTTCTGCTACTCGTGTGGTTAGAAGTCCGATGACGGTTAAATTGGAGTGAGAAGGTAGAAGTGGTTCTGGCAAATACAAGCAGCATAATAATTTGTTTGAGCATTGTGAATTTCTGATGTGAACCGTCTCTTTGAAGTTTTCTGGCCAATCAATCTGATTAGGGAAACCTCGACATTTGAATAATTAACTTACTGTTATACGTATATTAATTAAGGAACAACGTACAACCTCGTCACTTGAATTGTTAAAGCAAGTAGACTTCCTCGAAATAATGTACTAATTTTCTTTTTGACTTGAGGATCCTGAGTTCTATAATTCATATCTTCTCGTATCAATCAGCACATTGATTAGATAATCCATTATATGTTAGACATCACCAATTACAACTTTCATTTGGTTGCGTACGTAAAATGTCATCTCTGTATCAACTGGGAGGTGTTTGTCTTCAATATGAGGTTTGCTTACTGAGATCTAAGGAGCTGTTGGTATGGACTTGTGCTCTTGTAACCAACAAACTATTGTGACTAGGAATTTATGCCAAATTCAGTGTTCCACTTTTTCGTTCAATGGATTAACTAATTATTTATTTTATATATTTATTATTATTATTATTATTATTATTATTTTTGAAAGTTAAATTTTCAATTTATAAATAAATATCAATAGTTATACAAGCCCGGCACCATGGCCCAAACTAACTTCTACCAACAAAGAGCCCAAGTGTTCCCTAAGCCCAATAATCCAAGTACACCCAGCCCAAAGACAACATTCAATTGCTCAATATATGACCGGTATAGTCATCCAACATAAGCTCCCAACCTTAAATAGAAGGTGTACGACACACATCAACTCCACAATTTGTATCCTCTGCAATAGTGAATTGGAATCCCATGATCACCTAATCTTCAAATGCTCCTTCACTATGCCCTTATGGTCATGTTTTACAAGCACGATGTGGGTTTCATATTCAACCATTTTCTTGGGTTGAGTTAATCACATGGGCCTCTCCCCACTGGAAAGGCAACTCCGAATTCTATAGTAACTCAATTTCCAAAATGGGTTTGGCATCTCTGGTTTATAATACTTGGAATGAGTGCAATCGGTCCTCCATCTCACATTGAAATCCATTCGATCTAAGTTACTATTATCATCAATCACATACTCGCATAATTATTTTTATGTTTTCATCAAAGAATATATATATATTGTGTACTAAAGCCCTGAAATAGTAGCTAGCAATGGAGAAAACATCTAAAGTTAGTAATGTTTATGCCAAATTCAGTCTTCCACTTAGTAATGGGTTGTATACCTCCTCCTTTTTGGTTAATGAATTAATTAAGTAATGTTCATCTCTTTTTTTTTTAGGTAATTAAAAAAGATAAAAAAAAATAAAAAAAGAAAAAAAGAAAGAAAGAATAGAGATGAACACACATTTATATTAAAGTGTTAGTTGATGGATGTATACTTTAAATATCCATAATTAAGGGAAGATTGCTAAATTAATGCACTATTGAGATAGGCTCTGCAGATTACGATAAGGATTACAGATTGAGATAGGCTTTACAGATTACGATAAGGATTAAAGATTGTGATAAGGATTAAAGATTACGATGAGGATTAAGTCTACAGATTACAATAAGGTAATTCTACGTGACATCTTAACCTAAGCCCTATAAAAAAGGCGGGGTAATCAACGTTTGGAGGTACGCAAAAAACCCTAACTCAAGTTCTTGATTTCTCTTAAGAGATTAGTTCGCACACTGACTTATTCGTCGGAGCCTACTCCACCGGTAACACACCGGTGCTTGTAGGATCACCTTTACTTCTCTCTGTCCAGGAAGTTAGATCAGATCCGGGTTACGCAGAATCCATCATCAACAGTTGGCGCCGTTTGTGGGAACGATTTTAGTTCTCTAAATAAAGTATGGTTCGATTGTGATCTGGTCTGGTTGCTGGCGAATACGAAGCGTTGCAAACTTCTGATCAAAGGGACTCGACGAGGCAACCCCCCGCCGTCCCAAACGATCAAGAACTCGTCACAGCGTTGGAACAATAGGTTTAAACCTTAAATAAGGGAATGAACCAATTAGTCCAGAAAAATTCAATGATTCTACAACGCTTAGCCGACCTTAATGAGGTGGAGAATAATGAAGTACCCAATAATGACTCCCGTAGGATTGACAACGACGCTGAGCTTAGTCAAATAGGGGGTCAACAGAGACGCCATCACCATCGGTCTCTTGAACGGAATAATACCAGGCTCCGTGCAGGTACCTCTGGTTGTGTTGGTAATAAGACTGAAGACGTCACTTATTTCAATCTGTAGATGCAAGATCTGAGAACTAGGGTCAAAGACGTCATGCAAGCAATGAAAGGGAAGGGCCAGGCCACAGTGAACGATCTGGTACAGAAGACCAACCTAGCATTTAGCCTCGCTGTTATATTATGAGTTGTCCTCTACCTAGCAAATTTAAGATGCCAACTCTTGAGAGCTTCGATGGGACGCGGGACCCTCTCGATCATTTAGAGACCTACAAAGCTCTTATGTATTTGCAAGTCGTACCGGATGAGATTATGTGCAGGGTTTTCCCTACCACACTAAAGGGTTGGGCTCGTCTTTGGTTCAATAAATTAAAGCCAAGCTCCATTGAAATCTTTAATGAGTTGAGCAAACAATTCATTGGACACTTCATCGCTGGGCAGAGGCATAGGAGACAGCAACACACTTATTGAATGTGAAACAACAGAAGGGAAAGCCTCTCCGTGGTTACATAAGTCGTTTTAACGCTGATATGCTGCAGGTAGAAGAGGTGGACGACAAGGTTGACCTTACAGCCTTTATAGGAGGACTACAGACTTCTAAGTTCCTATTTTCCTTATCAAAGGAAGCCCCTACAAGCATGACAGAGTTGATGGTTAAAGCGTGGAAGCACATGAACGCTGAGGATGCTATGAATGCACGAAAAAACAAAGATGGTGAAGATAAGAAGTCGGAGAAGAAGAGGCCAGCACCTAACACTAGGGAGGAAAAGGAATCGAAGTACAAGAAATACTCAAACAACCAGGCTGACAGATCGTCTCGCCGCCCAGTGAGCCTAGGCAGGTATAATAATTATACCCCCTAAATACATCTGTAGAGCCAGTCTTTCTGCAGATTCAAGATGACGCATCATTGAAATGGTCGCCAAAGCTAAAAGCTGATCCAACAAAGAGGTCTCTAGGTAAATACTGTAGGTTTCACCGGGACCATGGACATAACACAGAAGATTGTTTCGACCTCAAAAACTAGATCGAGAACCTTATTCGTAAAGGTCATTTATGCAAATTCACAACTAGAAATGGAAAAGGAGGCTCCAACCCAGCCCGGGAGGGCCGAGATGATCACCCTCCTCAACACCAACCAATGGGTGAGGTCAAAGGTATATCGGGTGGCTTCGCTGGTGGTGGTGAGACAAGTTCGGCTCGGAGGGCTCATGCTTGGAGAATTCGGAGTTTTTCAGAGGTGAATGAAGTTGGAATGACAAGTCCTCCAACAAAATTACCTCGAGTTGAGGAGCCGGTCATAACCTTTTCTGAAGAAGATGACAAGGGAATTCACCAGCCCTATGATGACCCTCTGGGCGTACGAGAAATTGAAAATTGGCCGAGAGAAGCTCCGACCCATGAAGTCACCACTGGTGGGATTTTCAGGCGACAAAGTATATCCACTGGGGGCAGTTACCCTTCCAGTTATTGCAGGAGCCAATCCAAAGCAGGTCACTGTAATGGTGGACTTTGTAGTGGTGGACTGCCCATCATCATTTAATTTTATCCTGGGGAGGACAACATTGAATGCCATGAAAGCAATCACGTCCACTTACTATCTCCTGATGCGTTTCCCAACTGAATATGGTATGGGAAAGCTAAGAGGGGACCAAACAATAGCTCGCGAATGTTATGTCGCCTCTCTCAGAAAACAAAATCGCAAGAGGCATTTACGATTGAAGGGCTGGAAGGGAAAGATAGACCAGACTTTCATAGAGCGGAACCTACAGAAGAGCTAGAAGAGGTCATCCTTGGTGATGGTAAGCCCAAGAAAAAAGTGAGTATAGGGTCTTTACTCCCCCCAGGTATCAAAGATGAACTTACTCAATTCCTCAAGAAGAATCGAGACGTATTTGCATGAAGACATGCCGGGTATAGACCCCACTATCATGGAGCACCGCTTAAATGTAAATCCTGACTTTAAACCTGTCAGACAAAAGAGGAGGACTTTCGTTCCAGAAAGGAATCAGGCTATATCAGAAGAGGTGAAAAAGCTCTTAAAAGTCGACTTTATTCACGAGGTGTACTACCCCGACTGGCTGGAAAATGTGGTCTTAGTGAAGAAGGCAAATGGAAAGTGGAGGCTATGTGTGGATTTCACCGACCTTAACAAAGCTTGCCCGAATGACAGCTTTCCTCTCCCAAGAATCGATATGCTCATTGAGCGAACGGCTAGACACGAACTATTAAGTTTCATGGATGCATATTTTGGATACAACCAGATATCTATGTACACCTCAGATAGAGAAAAAATGGCCTTCATCATTGATAGAGGTTTGTACTGTTGTAAAGTAATGCCGTTTGGGCTCAAGAACGCTAGTGCAACATACCAAAGGCTAGTGAATGCAATGTTTAAGCTTCAAATTGGTAGAAACATGGAGGTATATGTTGATGACATGTTGGTGAAAAGCTTAAAAGCTGAAGACCATTTGACTGACCTGCAGGAGACCTTCGAGGTACTTAGGAGGCATAAGATGAAACTCAACCCCAGCAAGTGTGCCTTTGGGGTTTCCTCAGGAAAGTTCTTAGGATATATGGTAAGCAGAAGAGGAATTGAGGCCAATCCAGAGAAGATCCGAGCAGTCATTGACATGAGATCGCCAAGATCAACCAAGGATCTACAATGACTAACAGGGAAGATTGTTGCCTTGAGTAGGCTAATCTCTCGGTCAACTGACAGGTGTCTACCTTTCTTTCGTGTGCTAAGGAAGGCGTTGGAATGGACCCCAGAGTGTAAGCAGGCATTCAAAGAACTAAAGCAATACCTTAGTTCTCCCCCACTAGTGTCTCGAACCATACCGGGAGAGGAACTATACATATACCTTGCAGTCTCCACGACAGCTGTCAGTTCAGCTCTGATACGAGAAGAAGAAGTGGTCCAAAGGCCAGTATACTTCATGAGCAGAGCACTTAGGGGTGCAGAGGAAAGATATCCAAGGATGGAACAGTTGGCCTTTGCTTTAATTGTGTCCGCCAGGAAATTGAGACCATACTTTCAAGCGCATACGATAGTGGTCCTAACAGATCAACCCCTTCGACAGGTCCTACACAAGCCAGAAAGCTCTGGTCGACTGATGAAGTGGTCAATAGAGTTAGAAGAGTTCGACATTCAGTATAAGCCAAGAACAGCAGTAAAGGCTCAGATGTTGGCTGATTTCTTAGCTGAGTTTACCCCTCCAAAAGAGGAGAAACAATCCCAATTTTTGACAGAACCAGGTTTAAGTGAGCAGATGGGCCCAGAAGTAGTCTGGGACTTGTTCGTGGATGGGTCATCTAATGTTCAGGTTAGCGGAGCCGGGCTTATTCTTGTCTCCCCAGAGGCAGAAAGTATACAGTACGCACTTCGTTTTGGTTTCAAAGTAACCAACAACAAAGCAGAGTACGAAGCCTTGATAGCAGGATTAAAAGTGGCAAATGCCCTAGGGGTTGAGCAATTAAATATGTACACCGACTCCGAGCTGGTCGCTGGACAAGTTCAAGCGGAATATGAGGCACGAGACGAGAAGATGAAGAGTTACCTACAAAAGGTGAATGAATTAAAGAATCACTTCCAAAGATTCTTAATTCATCAAATACCACGAGAAGAGAATGGGAAAGCAGACACTTTAGCCCGGCTAGCTACTGCATTAAACCTGAGATCAATAAGAATATACCACTGGAATATTTGGAAGAACCATCTATATCTCAGGAGAGACAAATTGAAGTGCAACAAGCGATATTGAGTGTGGAATGGGCAGATCCTATCATCAGATATATCAAGGATGGGGTGCTACCAACAGACCGAGCAGAAGCTCGAAAGGTCAAGATGCGGGCAGCTAGGTATACGCTTATCAAAGGGGTGCTCTACAAGAGAAGTTTCTCCATGCCGTATTTACGATGCGTTTCTAGCAAGGAAGCTAACTACATTTTAAGGGAGATCCACCTAGGAGTTTGTGGAAACCATACTAGGGGTAGGTCACTTGCTAACAAGGCCATCCGACTAGGATACTATTGGCCCACCATGCAGAAAGATGCACTTGACTTCATTAAAAAGTACGACAAGTGTCAACGATTTGCCAACATCCCGAGATAACCATCAGAGGAGATGACTCCCATGTCAAGACCACACCTCTTTCCCCCTTAAAAGAATGAAGGGCCAGCTTCATCTACTTCCCTCGTAAAAAGATGAGGGGTTAACTACTTCCCTTGTTAAAGGGTGAGCTGAGTGAAGCTCATAGTAATCTACTTCCCCTGTTAAAGGGTGACCTGGGTGAAGCTCGTATTAATCTACTTCCCCTGTTAAAGGGTGACCTGGGTGAAGCTCGTATTAATCTACTTCCCCTGTTAAAGGGTGAGATGGGTGAAGCTCATAGTAATCTACTTCCCTCGTTAAAAGGTGAGCTGAGTGAAGCTCATAGTAATCTACTTCCCCGATGAGTGAAGCTCATAGTAATCTACTTCCCTCGTTAAAAGGTGAGCTGGGTGAAGCTCATAGTAATCTACTTCCCCTGTTAAGGGGTGAGCTGAGTGAAGCTCGTATTCATCTACTCATCTTATTACGAGCTACGTGAAACTCGTCTTAATCTACTTTCCTTATTAAAGGGACGAGCCGACTAAAGATGTCAATAAAATCAAGTATAAAATAACGGTAGCATGCCAGCAGGGCAGCTTGCCAAATAAAGACAGCATGCCAGCAGGGCAGCTTGCCAAATAAAAGCAGCATGCCTGCCAAATAAAGGCAGCATGCCAGCAGGGCAGCTTGCCAAACAACGACAACATGCCAACATGACAGCTTGCTAAATAAAGGCAGCATGTCAGCAGGGCAGCTTGCCAAATAACGGCAGTATGCTGGTAGGGTAGCTTGCCAAATAATGGCAGCATGCTAGCATAACAGCTTGCCAAATAAAGGCAGCATGCCAGCAGGGCAACCTGCCAAATAACGGCAGCATGCCAGCAGGACAGCTTGCCACGGCAGCATGGCATGGCAACTTGCCACATAACGGTAGATTACCAGCATGGCAGCTTGCCACATATACGAGCTGCCAATGTGGCACTACGACAAATATACAAGCTTGCCAATATACGACAAATATACGAGCTTGCCACATATACGAGCTGCCAATGTGATACTATGACCCCCGACTGTATTCGTGAAATGACAATATAAGTCAGGCTAATGGACAAGGCTCTGCAATTCTAACTATATATTATTGTGTGATATTTTGGAATTAACGTTCCGGTGGTTTAACAAGCAATCCTCCGAAACGGGGGGCAACTGATGGATGTATACTTTAAATATCCATAATTAAGGGAAGATTGCTAAATTAACGCACTATTGAGATAGGCTCTGCAGATTACGATAAGGATTACAGATTGAGATAGGCTTTACAGATTACGATAAGGATTAAAGATTGTGATAAGGATTAAAGATTACGACGAAGATTAAGTCTACAGATTACAATAAGGTAATTCTACGTGACATCTTAACCTAAGCCCTATAAAAAAGGCAGGGTAATCAACGTTTGGAGGTACGCAAAAAACCCTAACTCAAGTTCTTGATTTCTCTTAAGAGATTAGTTCACACACTGACTTATTCGTCGGAGCCTACTCCACCGATAACACACCGGTGCTTGTAGGATCACCTTTTCTTCTCTCTGTCCAGGAAGTTAGATCAAATCCGGGTTGCGCAGAATCCATCATCAACATTAGTGTTCTGAATTGATTTAAGTGTGTATATACATACATACATACACACACACACACATATATATATATATATGATGATTATTTATTTGTATGTATTTTTACTTTTGTTTTTTTTACCTATAATCGTAATTTATCTATGTAGTGTATTGTTAATCTCCAAATCTCATGCAATTGAGTTTTCTAATGCACGTGTTTACTATTGTTATATAGAAGAGGTAATTTTTAGACAAAAAAGAGTACTTGAGTTGAGTTATAGAGAGATCGATAGTATCTCTAACCCACTTTAGTAGTATTTGATTAAGATAAATACCCACGTGCTGTGTGATGAAAATTTTAGTTGACAATGTATATTCTCTCATGCTTGGTTATATTATGGTCCAAATTTTTATTTTGTGAAAGTTGTTTTAATTGTGGAATATTTATAAAAGATTGTGTGTGCTCGACATATATAATCGGATGAAAATATGAAGAAGTGGATGTGGTTGAAAGAAATTATTTTGAAAATTAGTTGGAGGTC